CGAGCTCAAGAACAGCAGCGATTACCACCGCTTGAGCTCTTCAAATTCATAGGAAAAATTATCGAGTGGCTTAAATTCATTGAGAGGTTTCGTGATCAAATTCACAACAAGACAACCCTCACCGACTCAGATAGAATGGCTTATTTATTCCAAAATCTTGACGGGGAAGCTAAGAAAGCAGTGGAAAGTCTAGATGTTACAGGTAATAGTTACCCAACTGCCCTTAAGACTTTAAAACGTCAGTTTGGGAACCCCAACAGTGTGGCCACAACTTATCTGAATGACATGCTCAACAGTGCCTATGTACCCTCAAAATGATAGGTAAGCATTACGTGACTACTATTACCAAGTGAAAGCATGTACGACATGGTGTGTAAAGATGGGTCAGTCAGCTATTCTTCAAACCCCAGAGTATCTCAGCAGGGAAACTATGAGGTTACCCATGAACCTCCGAGTAAGATGGTATGAATACATAGATGGACGCAGTGATAGATCCACCCTGGTAGAGTTTGAGAAGTGGTTACGCAAGCGAGTAGAAACACTGTTTAACCCCCTTGAAGATTTCATATGCGAAGGATCGAACAAGAAACAAAGGTACCCCAAAGCAAAGCCAAATCCTAAGTTAAATTCCCTCGCCACGACGGCAGGAAGGTCTCCTGACGCCCCAAGCAACAGCAGCGACTAGTCAGATTCCAAAGTAGCCCAAACCCAATCATTGAACAAAGAGCAGGAGAAAGCCCCATCCAATGAAAAGGGCTGTGTCATCTGCAAGTACAAACACCCTGTTGCCTTTTGTCCTGTCTTTAAGTCTAAGCACCTACAAGAAAGGCGAAAAATTGCAAGGGAATATGGACTTTGTTTCAATTGTTTGAAAACGAACCACCAAGTCAAGAATTGCCCGAGTACAAAGCGTTGTCTTAAAGAACGGTGCGGGCGTTCCCACCACACCCTTTTACACGAGGATCTTCGAGTAGAGTCGCGTCCTAGCCTCACCAGCAACGAAAGTAGCTTTATCCAAACATCGGCTTCTCCAAAGGAAAATGCTTGTAACCCAGAGCCGGTGTCCGAATTCGTTGCCCATCGTTCAGACCAACATCAACCAAGTCTGTTTTCAACCTCAGCGGAAGGTCCTCCTTCAAGTGCTCCCAGTTCGAATTAACACGGTTGACACTTTTGCTGTCCATGATCCTGGAAGTGACTCAACCCTGATTAGGAAAGACTTAGCTAAACGCTTACAACTTGTTGGCGAGACATATCGCCTTAACATTAATACAGTTGGCAATGAAGCTACTACTCAGAACTTAGACAGGGCAAGCTTTAGTCTTCCCTCTAAAGAACAGCCAGACCCGGTTATGTTGCATGGAGCTTGGGTCATCAAAAAACTCAACATTCCATCTTTCAAGTTGTCGAAGAAAAGGACCGTCGAGCAGTGGAATCACTTATCTGACGTAGATCTTCCTGAACTCCAAGGTGGTGACGTGATGATTCTCATTGGAGCTGACATGGCTCACTTATTGATTCACCTTGAAGTCCGCCAGGGGCGACGGGATGAGCCCATCGCGGTAAAGACCCCTCTTGGATGGACGCTGTTTGGAAATGTGAATCAAGGACACTGTGAAACGATTAGTGCAAACTTTCTCGCATCAGATAGAGGGACTACATTGCAGCATCAAATCGAACGATTTTGGGAGATCGACTCTTACGCAGCCAAGCGAGTTCTCTCTGAGTCTACCTTGTCAATTGAAGACAAACAAGCTCTGGCCATCCTCGAAAGCAACACAGTCAAGGAGGAAGGCCACTACAAAACAGCACTACTATGGAAATGTGAACCAGTCTTGCCTAACAATTATGCTATGGCAGTTTCAAGACTTCATTCCACTGAGAAGAAACTCAAGAAAAACACGGAGCTAGCAGAGAAATATCAGAACGTCATCAACGATTATGTCACTAAAGGACACGCCCAAAGGATGACACAAGAAGAGGCCAAAGTGATAACCCCAAAAACATGGTACTTACCACACCATGTAGTTGTTAATCCAAACAAGCCTGGAAAGGTCCGTGTGGTCTTTGACGCCGCATCAAAATTTGATGGTGTTTCCTTGAATAACAAGCTTCTGACTGGCCCCAACCTGTTGAACAGCTTGGTAGGGGTCTTTATGAGATTTCGAACTGGAAGGATCGGCGTGATGGCGGACATTGAACAGATGTTTCATTAAGTGAGAGTGTGTGAAGAAGATAGAGACTCTTTGCGCTTCTTGTGGAGAGACTTAGATGAAACGAAGAGACCAAGTGAATATAAGATGACTGTTCACG